TTTTTTTGTAAGTAATCCTATAATTAACATACGTACAAGGAGGCAGTGGGGCACCAAACAGAGCCAACAATGCCTTTGTTGAAAAAGAGATCAATAGAAAATGAGATCACCATATTGAACGCACACTCTCCGCCGTGCAGGTGGTGCTGCTGGCCGTGCTGCGGCACGAGGCCTCCGGGCGCGAAGTGTGCGTGGCCACGACGCACCTCAAGGCGCGCGCCGGCGCCCTCATGTCGACCATCCGCAACCAGCAGGGCATCGACCTGCTCAACGTGGTGGCGGCGCACGCCGACGGCCGGCCCGTCCTGCTCGCCGGCGACTTCAACGCCGAGCCCAGCGAGCCCGTCTACCGCACCGTGCTGCAGCACCCCGCCCTGCGCCTCGCCAGCGCCTACTCCAAGGCTAGCCACAGGGTGAGTCAAATTTGGATTTTTTTTTTTTCGGATATTTTGGTTATTTTCTAGAAGTTATCTTGGAGGTGAGAAGATTAAAAAATCAAAACTTTTGGGAAAAATCTTGAAAAATTTCACAAAAATACATTTCTGGAAAATTAAAATTCCTAGTCGTGAACTTGAAAATAAATACAATGACTCGTTGCAGGTCGAGGAGGACGACGGCGTGGCTCACGGCGACCCAGTGGCCGCCTCGGCGCAGGGCGAGCCCCCGTACACGACGTGGAAGATCCGCGAGGAGGGTGAGCAGTGCCACACCATCGACTACATCTTCTACTCGCGCTCGGCCTTCTCCGTGTCCGCCCTCATGGACTTCCCCTCGGGCGAGGCGCTGGGCCCCGGGCGCGCGCCCTCGTACCAGTACCCCTCGGACCACTTCTCGCTGTGCGCCGAGCTCCGGCTCGAAGACTCGCGGCCCGAGCCCCGCCCCCCGGGCAGGTGTGCCTCGGAGCGCACCAAGTGAGGCGCGCCCGGGATCGCCCTGGAGTTCCCTGAGCCCAGCTCCCTGAGCCCAGCTCCCTGGAAGGACCTGGTCGGGTGAGGAGGAGAGTGCGTGAGTCGACCCGCACGCCGCAGTATTAGGCTTGAGCCGAGGCCGAGGCGGAGGCCGAGGCGGAGGCGCGCCGCAACGCCACCGAGGTCCAGTCGGAGGACGAGGCCGGCGGAGGGCCCGGGCCCCGGGTGTCCGGTCGGGTCCGGGAGGCAACGCCACACCACTCGGACGCTGCGCTGACTGGCTCGGCCCCGCAGCAGCAGCAGCAGTCGGGTTCGAAAGTTGTTTTCAGTTTCGGTTTTCACCAGATCTGCGCAGACGCGACGGCGCCTAGACTACTTGACCTTAGGGCTGTGTGTGCCTCCTGATGTGAAGTACAACAATAGAGCAATATTTTATGTAGAGCAGTAGTAGGAATTGAAGGCACTCGTGGTGGGTGCGTCAAAGGTTTAGTATTGTGGTTTTTGTGGTGATGGAAATCAGCCTTCTCGGGCGTGCTCACACGTTTTATGCATGACCAAACTTAAAATGTGATACCTGTGACATCTAATTATTGAGAGTAGGTTACGAGGTGGGAGTGGTTGATGTGTGATATCTTAATTTATTATTTCTACCTTACAAAGATTTCATGTAATTTATAATATAATTAGTTGCATTGTTTTATTGTTGAAACTTGTTAGATTTAATGTGTTGAGCAAGTTGCTTAGAAATGTTTGTTTAATATACTTTACTATTGTTCTTACTTTTTTTTGGTTGTATTCTCATGGATAAGTAAGTTGAAAACTCCGTGCCATGTCTTCACCCGTGACAAAAGAACTATTTGACACGTGCGATTCTGGTGTAGGAAAGAAGCCAAGTAAAGTACCGATTGGTACTAACCACTTATTGTATCGTCAAAGAACATTGTTCTTCATCTTAGGCTGTGTGCTTGCTTCATATAGCATGCTCTGTACATAAAATAACTTTTACTTTGATTTATAAGGTAAATATTTATTTATTTTTGATCTATTTATAATAAAAACACAATGAGTTACAAAAGAAGTCGCAGTTATTCTACTTGCCTGCTTTTCCTTTCTGCATTGCTAATGGTGACTTTAAAGCAAAATACCAGACAAGCAGTTTAACTGTAAAATATCTCTGACCTCCTCAATTTTCATCATTAGTCTTTTTCTTTCTTTCTGTTCTTCGAAAGAAACTGAAAAACAGATTTTTAAAAAAATATTTTCATAGTAGTTGGGTGGATCTTTTTTCTTATGGCCAATATGTAAAAGTTCACACAGGCCTGCATATGTTGAAACAATATCACAGACTTAATAAAGCTGTCACAATGACAGAGATCAGAGATCAACAAACTACATAACATGTTTAAGGGAAATTTTTTCTCAGACTATTTACAAAAGTTTAAAAAAAAAAACGTAATTCACAAACAGCAAGACTTTGTCAATGCCTGAAAGTGATAACTTTCATGAGATCAAGGAAAGCATTATCACCATTGAAAGGTTTCCTCGTGCACAAAGTTCTTTAGAATTGAGAGCTATGAATCTCCTGTTTACAAAGTAAACGCTAAATCTCAAATTTAAAAACATTTTTTTGTAAGTAATCCTATAATTAACATACGTACAAGGAGGCAGTGGGGCACCAAACAGAGCCAACAATGCCTTTGTTGAAAAAGAGATCAATAGAAAATGAGATCACCATATTGAACGCATACTTAAAAAGCCAATCAGTCTCTAGTGACTTGGTACCTTAGGCATCACCCAGAAAGTACGTCCGTCATTTTCCGTGATGAACCTGTCTAGTTCAGTCCAGGCAAGCTCTCATGGCGCCTGGTGGGTAGGCAACATCTTGCCTGCAATGCACGCGAGTACTGCGGGGTGGCCTACCCCGAGTCTCGCAGGCGTCAAACACACACAATTTGACAAATGTCTGAGAAGAACGGACGTACTTTCTGGACGATCTCTTACGATGGACGACGCGACAACCAGTTTGGCTCCTGAGATGTTCTGACAAGAGTACCCCTTCCTCTAGGCTGGGCAGTTCCAGAAACTGGTGTCGAAGTCTAGTTCCAGAGGTTCTTGCATGCCAAAACCACCGTCACCTGAAACGAAAACAGAGCACAGGCATCAACATCTACCGGTCGAGTCTTTGTGCATCGCGTTTGAGCACCAGTAACGCAGTTGTGTCCCGGTCGTGCCCTGTGCCCTGGCCTTCCCTGCCTTGCCCTTCCCCGCTGCCCGGTGCCGGTGCCTGCTGCCTGCATGGCAAAAGGACGGCTATTTAAAACGAGCAGCGCAGATGCAGCGAGCACGCGAACGAGAGCGCGGGGAGGAGGGGTCGAGGGAAGGCCATCCATGTGTGTTCTACGCAGGAGGGCGAAAGGGAAGGGGAGGGACCATCGCGGAGGTCGGCGTGATGCCAGGCGAGTGCCTACGATTGTCATTTCAGTTTTTAGATGGTCAGATCGAGTGTCATATTTTTTCCCCTGCTCCCTCGTTTCCCCTGTCCTCCCCCCCTCCCTTTCCACTTTCTCCTCCGCCGATCTTTTTAAAGTTTAAATCCCCCTATTGTCTGGCGCCAGGGCAGAACACATGGAGCACATGACAACAGATCTGGCAACGAATACCGACCCCCTCCCCCCTCCTCCTTTTCCTATGCTTCTCCGCAAACAATCCTATAAGGATGCCCGAACACACACGGCCAATGGAACATGCATCACCAGGTGCGTGACCGACCCCTCATATATTCTGCGTCACTTTTGTTTCCGCTGTCTCGCCTTTTTCGCCTCAGATTGATTTGCGTCCACCCCGGTTGACTTTGACTCACCGCTGGGTTCGGCGAGCAGTTTCCCGACCTCGTCGAAGGGAATGAACTCTCGTATGGCCTGGTCGATGTCGATATCGTCTGCCGACGGGAACAGGGTGTCGTCTGATGGAAACGACCACAATCACACGTTATGAATATCCATAAAAAAGAGCAATAAAAGTGATAAAAAGTCAACTGCATCGGTACTTACATGAGTCAGTGTAACCCTGGCTAATGCCTGGCGCCTCCGAGGACTGGGATGGTTCTGCGGGCGAAACAAGTCCAAGTTCACACTTCGGCACTTTTGCATAACAAAAGAGCAAGGGAGAGAGTCCTAGGCCTCTTGAAAGGCTTAAAACCTCACAAGAAAGGTAAGGTCATTTTTTTAAAAGTCAATTGTTTTTAATGTCATTTAATTTCAGAAGCCTTAAGGTTTGAGAACTGACTCGGCTTGTAAAATCTACCAATTTTAACTTTTAAAAATAATCTACT